TTTATCTGAGAGAGAGAGAGACAGAGCATGAGTAGAGGGGAGGGGCAGAAGGAGAGGGAGAAGCAGACTCCCTGCTGAGGAGGAAGCCTGACCTGGAACTTGATCCCAGGACCTGGAGATCATGACCGGAGCCGAAGGCAGATGCTTTAATCGACTGAGCCACCCAGGCGCCCCACTCTCTGCAAGTGTTAAGACTCTGCTGGGTCCCATCATGCCAGGTGCCCTGTGAGTGGATGAAAGGCACAATCATGGTCAGGTCCTGCCCACAATGGCCTGAGGCCTGAGCACAGCTTTACACGAGGGCAAACCCCAGGTGCTCCATTCGAGCAGGCCAGACTTTCTCCTCACCCCCAGCCACGTGGTCCTGGACCTGTTCACCCAACACCACTCCACTGCGGACAGCTTTTCCTGCACAACTCCGCCCTCGGTGGCAGAGGGGTGGGGAGCCGTGACCCTGGCAGTGCACGCACAGGGCTCTTGGGTGGGAGCCAGGCCCCCTAGCAGTCAGGAGCAACAGGTGACAATGCCGGCCAGGGCGAAAGTCTCCTCAAGGGCTCCAAACCCCTCTCCTCTAGTCCACAGCCGGTGGTACTCCAGCTGCATCAGTGAAGGGTCTTCTGAGCCCTGGACTTGCAGGTAAACTGAAACCTGGATTGTGCCATCAAGGGATTTGGTTGGCTCTAGACTTTTCAGCTCCGGGGGTCAGAGGTGGGGCAGTGGAGGGCCAGGTACTCCTGCTGATGCGCTCTTCTTTCAGCCCCCCAGCGCTAGAAGGCAGCAGTGGGTCAGAAGTGGGCAGTGCAGGGAAGGGCTGGGCTGAAATGGGGTGAGGGCACCCAGGCTGCTCCTCCCTTAGAGGCAGGCTGAAGGTCCCCGGGCCACCAGGCACTGAGAACCACAGGCAGCTTTGCCATCGGGGCCCTGCCCAGGGTCTGGCTGCCCTCCCCTGGGATCCAGGCCAACGCCAGCACTGGGCCACAGGGGATGTCCTTGGTGGCAGCTGGGTGGGCACCAGCTTAGTAGCCCCACTCAGCCGGCTACAGATTCAGGGTGGAGAGGAGCCTGCCCAGACAGGCCTGGTGCCCCGCCTACCCGACCACTCCCTCTCTCCTGCAACGACCCCCCCACCAGAGTACCTCCCCTCGGCTCCTAGGAGCCTTCGTGATGCCAGGGAGTGGAGGAAAACCAAAACAGAAGTCAGCCCTCTCGGCCAACATCAAAAGGCGAGACAGCTGGGTGGAGTTCCGAACAAGGGCAGGAGCGGTGCCTGGGAGACCAGCAGGCCTCAGAGGTCTGTTTTTAAGGACAGGGTAGAGGGAAAGGCGCTGTCCTCAGAGTGCCAGGGGAGGGGCTAAGCACACAGCTCGAGCCCTTGATCCTGGACCCAGGACCCCACCCACAAGAGCCTCAGGACCTGACACACCGGCCAGGGACACACTTGATGTCATCATTTTTATTCACTTTCTCTTTTTGAAAATAAGAGTAAACATACATTATATATACGTGTGTGTATATTATGTATACTGTAGTATACATGTATACGTATATGTATGTGTATGTATGTATACTATGAATATTACAGTTACTGCAGGGATCTGAAAACAATCCTCCACCACTTGGAGGCAATTTTCAGTTCTGACATTTAGTGGAGGGGGAAAAAAGTGTCCGTGATTGCCAAAAGCAGAATCTTTCTTTATTATTAAACAGCAGTACAGGAAAACCTAATGCTCTGTCCGACACAACTGAAATCTGGGAGGCCACGGGGAGGGCAGCAGACACTAAGGAGAAACCCCAAAGAAACCCTAGATGGGAAGCACCCCGCTCACCCAAGTGCCCCATCCCTCAGTCCTGTCTCTGCTCCAGGAACACAGGGGACGCCAAGGACTATATTGTAGGCAGTCACCATCTTCAGGGGCAAGAGAAGGAGTGGGGTGAGTGGGTGTGTGCAACTGCCGGGGAGCAGAAGCCTGGGCCGGGGCTTTGGACGTTTCTGCCCATCTTGCCCGTATGGGTCAGTGCTCAGGAGGCTGAGGCCCGACTGGCACAACCACAGGGGCCCAGCCTGGGTGGATGCAGAGAGGGAGGGTAGGGGTGTAGGCCCCAGGAGCCCCAGACCCGACAGAGGGGCTTTCCTGGCACACCAATGGACTCTCCACACACACCAGGACAGCCTGGCCCGAGAGCGGGCATGGGGAGGCCCTCTAACACTGACCCAAGAGAGACTGAGGGGCAGGGGGCTTCATGAGAAGCCAGGAGCCTGAGGAGGGAGCCACACAGTCACCCTTCAGGAATTGATCGGAAAAAGGAAGAGAAGAACCCTGGGTCTGCCTGATCAGCTTCTGTGGCCTCTCTGGCTCTATTTCCTTTGGTCCCCTCCTCACCTGACCCTGTCAGCAGCAACGGAAGAGGGGAGTCCCCGAGCACAGGGGTACACTGAGATTTCACTCCAGGAGGAATGCTGCCCTGCCCTGAGGACCCACGCGGGCCCGGCAGTCAGGACCAGGGAACTCCATGGTGGCCAGGAGCCTTGCTCAGCCTCTCCAGAAAGGAGGTGCTGCCACTCCCAGGGACTCCTTGTTGGGGCTGGCAGAAGGCTGGGGTGGGCAATGGATGGGGCCTCAGTTCTTGAGGATGGTCTCGTAGGCTTGGTACACGTGTTGGGACACCTCTGGTGCTCGACATTTCAGGGACAGCTGCAGGGGGAGAGAGGTCAGGGGATGGAGAGGGCTCAAAATTCCCCGGGCTCCTCTCTGGGGCTGGGAAGGAACCCAGGGAGGGAGGAGAGAGCAAGAGCCAGATGGAAGAGTGTGGTGCGCACACGTGGCCTGCTGGTGGCGTGGCTGGGACAGCTGTGTAGTAAAGCGGAGGGGGTGGCTGCCACGGCCAGCTGGGTGTGGACCAAATATACTCGCAGCCCACACACCTGCCGTCAGCCCAGCCCCCGTGGGCCTCGCAGCGTGAATCATGAGCCCACAGAGCTGCTGGGGCCCCTTCTCCCCGGGAAAGCCTGGGGTCTCCGAGGAGGTATGGGGGCTGAGAGGGCGCAGGCCTCTGCTTGGAGAGATGGGGGCAGGGGCACCGGGGAGTCTTCCTGGGTTCCGGCACACGCGGTGTTGCCGCAGTGGGAGCCGAAGGGCGGGCAGAGGAGAAGCAAGTGCCACCAGCACTTCTGCCCAAATCACTGCTGCCCCAGGGGGCGATGAGGAAGGGGAGGAGTGCATGGCGCTCCGGAAGCCGGCAGTGGTGGCCCTGCGGGGCCCCGATCTCCTCTGAAGGGCTGTGTGTGTGCTGTGCGTGCTGGGAAGTGGGAGTACCAGCTCCTCAATCGGGTTCACCTGGTTGGGAAGCTCTGGGGTGCTCCGTGCCTGCGGCCTGCACGCACGGCTGCCCGGCTTTGGGGAGCAGCAGGGGGAGGCGGGGCTAGGAGAGGCAGGGTGCACTGGAGCCAGGCCAGGAGATGGGCTGTGCAAGTGTGGCTGGGGAGGGTGGAGGGGAAAGAGGAAAAGAGCAATCTGCTAACCTCCAGGTCCTGCACCACGGGCACCAGCAGGGAAGGTGGGCATGCAGCAACCAAACACAGGGAGATGGAAGTTACCACCGCCGAAGCCACTGCCGCAGCCCCCACCCCACCTCAGAACCAGCGCCGCCAGCAGGGCCCGGGGAGCAGCGTCTGGAGGGCCACGCCTGCCAGAGACCAGGGTGCAGGGGGAGAAGCAAAGCCCGGCGCTCTCTGGGGCCTGAACAGCAGCGCGGCCGCCAGGACAACCACGCACTCCGTGGAAGCCATGTCCTGACTGCGGTCTGACACAAAGGCCGGGAAGGACACGGTGCTCGCTGGCAGCACCCTCCCAGGCAGGCCCTCGGGCAAGGGAAGAGCGGGAGGAGGGCCAGGGCCTGGGCCCAGCAGTGCCATTTCCCAGTCAGGTGGGCCCTGGGCCATCTGGGCCACCTCACGGGGCCCTACTGTATAGAATTTTCTAGTCCAGCTCCCTGTTTGGTGACACAGTTTGGTGTCTTATCTGGGTAACCTGATGGGACTGAGTTGGAAGCGAGGGTCAGAATTCTGATGCTCATTCATGTCAGGTTCAACTGGGCTAGAGCGCACCCCATCAGACTGACCCCTGGTCCGGGAAGGAGAGGCTGCCCGGAACATGGAGGTAGACACGCCAGGGCTGGCAGGGCAGGAGCGGGGACCCTCACCGTGAAGCTGGGGTTGCCCGGCTGGATACGCAGCTCCGCCAGCACCCAGATGCCGTTGGTCAGCTTCAGGGACTGGTAGAGCATGTCCTGGCCCTCCACGTTCCTCTTGGCGACCGTGAAGATGTTGCTGCTCTGTAGCCTGCTGCTCACAGCCTCTGAGAGTGAGAAGGGCCCCCAGTCAGCGGTGGGAGAGGGCCGGGGGTACAGGTGAGGGGCAGTGTGGGCAGGGTGGGAAGGCGGGGGAGGGCTAGAGAGTCCTACCCGCATTGAGGGGGCAGTCTCTGATCTGGAACTGGGCTTCATTTTCATTGGGAATGTCCTTCCACGTGGCCAGGAACATCTGCCGGTCTGTGGGGGGCCAATGTAGAAAGCAGGACCCTGATAAACCTGGGGCCCCACTCAATAACATCCAGCAAGAAATGGGTCTTTTGGGGGTGCCAACTTGAAGCCGAAGACAGGCACTAGCTCTGCCATGGCCCCCTCCTGTTTCCCTGAACAAACCTTCAGCTCTGTGAGAGCGGCCACCAGGGCTGCTCCCAAAAGATCCTGGGCTTCCTCCTCCCCGCCTTGGGCCTTAAATCTTCCTTCCCAGTACCCACATATGCACTCCCACCTGCTCTGGCCCAAGCAGCCTGCTTGTTAATCACAGCCTGTGTCACAGGGCTTCTGTGGTGACCGAGAGGTGACGTGGGCAAAGGCCTTTGCTCAGCTCTGAGCTGGCAGCCCTCCTGGCATGAGGATGAGTCTTCTTAGGGGTTCCAAGCAGCACACAGGAGATGGACATCAAGTGTGACATGGTCTGGGCTCCCCAGCTCGGGGGGCCGTGGGAGGACTGTCTAAGGACTATGGGCAAGGTGGAGGGGCGGGCAGAGCAGAATTCAGGAGTGACACAGCTCCTGCATGGCATGGCCCCCACTGCGGGACAGAGCTGGCCACACAACACCCAGCGGTCCTTGATGGAGGTGTGACCCTCGCCTCAGGCTGTGCAGAGGGGCCAGCGACTCACAGACTCCATCGTGGGGCCAAGCCAATCATTATATTCCAGGGACTCTCGGGGCACCCTCAGGACTCACCCATCTTCCCATCCTCCACAAAGAGGATGTGCAGTGGGTACAAAGTGCTGAAGTAGAAGACGTCAATGTTGTTCTTCACAGCCACCTAGGAACAAGGCCACCCAATCGGTCCCTGATGCTTGATACCACCTGTGAAGCCCCAGGAAGGGCCTGCTCCCTGTGCCTCCACCTGAGCAGGTTCCCTCACGCACCTTCCCTGGTAACCACGCCCCTCCATCCCCTCGGATCAGGTCTCCCCTGCCAGATCTCTGGCGAAGAGCACAGCTCCAAAGACACACCCCTTTGCCAACAAAGGCCAGGCCCCGGACCCCTCCAGCAGGCTCCTCCCCTGTGGTAGGTGGGCAGCTAAGGAGTGGGGTGCTTAGCCCTGCCTGGAACACACCTGGAGGTTGTTCAGAGGCTCCATCTTCATGACCGAGCCCACCGTGTTGAGAGGCAGGGATATCTCCACAGTCTGGTTGGGGCTGAGTGGTGCGTGCACCTGGAGGGGGGCAGCAGGGGCCAGGCCGAAGCTGGGGAGAGAGAAGCCCCCGCGGGAATGGCAGGGGGAGCAGGTGCTGACGTGGGATGGGTGAGCTCCTCAGGCTCCAGAGCTAGGGCAGCTGTTGGCAAGAAGCCTCTCCAGTAAGCTGGCGTCACCTGAGCTCTAGGCCCAGGATAGATGGACAAGTTCCTGATCCCCACTCTCAGTGGCTGTGTGGACAGGAAGAATGAGCCCAGGGCCAGCTGTAGGCCTAAGGCCATCTCGGCTCCACTTTCTCTTCTGGGCTTCGCACCGAGCAGGCCCAGGTGAGCATGGCCTTGCTCTGTCCTGCACTTGAGAAGCTCCAGCTAATATCAGGGGCCTGAACTATAAGCTGCTTCTAACTGAAGACTTGAATGCCCAAGTTTCTGCTACCAATCCCCATCTTCCAAGAAGGATGTGACCATCCCAAGCGAGACACCGGGTTTTACTGTCTGGGCTAGAACTGGCCAGAGATTCAGGAAAGCCCTACTTCTTAGTAAAGCAACACGTAGGTAAATCAGGAGGGGAGGATCCCCAGGAGCATGACACACAGGACCATAAAGCAACAGCTCACTGTACCCAGGTTGGGCATTTGATATTATACCAACTCCTACCCTCATAAAAACAGAGAGAGGTATACATTCTCTCATCTTCCAAGACATGGAAACTTGGAGGGGCAGGCCTGTGCTCAGACCCTATGGGATGAGTAGCACTGCTGAGATCCAGAGCTTGAGCTGCCTGACCTGGCCTGCACTCTGCCCACGATGGGAATCAGACCTGCCTGGGACATGGTGGGAGACGATGTGGGGAACCCCAGGCCTCTGTGGTGGCCCGCTCTTCAGGCTTTCCTGGAAGATCCCCCAGAGCCTGCTGTGTGATCCTGGGCAAGGCATTGGTCCTCTCTGAGCCCAGGTGTCATTATCTACTGAAAAGGGAAAAATGGCATTGACCTCACTGGGCTGTCAAGTAGCTCAAAGTAAGGTAATACTTCTAAAGTCCTTGGCACAGGGCCTGCCACCTAGGGCGTTGTCAGCACGCTCTAAGTCTGTTGTGAGTAATCGTCGAGACTTCCCCTTGGAACCTGGAGTGCTTCTATGAACTCTAGGGCCATCTGATGGTAAGTAGCAGAGCTGACAGAGGGTCAGGACCCACCGGCCTGAGGGCTCTCCCTGAGGAAGCAGCCCCTTCAGTCAACTTCTTAGAGGCTCAGTTTGCTCATCACTAGAGCCGCTCAGGAAGAAGAATCATCAGGAGAGGCTGCTTGGGTCCCCCAGAGAGCCCTGGCCTAGCTGGCCTGGTCCATGAAGACCCCAGTGGTACCAGAGAGGAAACCTTCCCCAGGACCTCCAGAGCAGGGGACCTAGTGGGGTGAGGAGCCCGGAGCAGCACCACTCCCAGAGGCCCCGTCTGATGGTTTAAACCTGTGTCACAGGGGCTGGCTGGAAGGCAGGCCCACTCCCCGTCAGCGCTCTTAGAGCTAGGCCCTGAGGTGGCAGCAACTTAGGCCTGGAGAGGAAGCTCCATCCTGTCATGTGGGGTGTTTGCCAAAGGCGGGCTCCTAGTCTGGAGCTGGGGATTTTTGTCAGCAAACGCTCTTTGAGCAGTGGAGGAAGGCAAAAATAAGGGGAGACAACCTACCCCTCTGCCTGGTACTTTGGAGTCCACATAAAGAGGTCATTGGGAAGGGAAAAAAATCATTGCTTTAGAGAGTTTTGGCCTGAGATGCAGTTGTGAGGCACCAGACCCCCCAGAGCTCTCAGCCCCTGCCTGCGGTCACCAGCAAGGGCTCTCATCACACTGGCCTTGGGAGCGCTCACCTGTTGCGGTTAAACTGGATGGCAAAGTCAGTCATGACCTGTAGGGCCTTGTTGGTCAGCTGCAGGTCCATGGAGATGGAGCCCACCTGGCGGGTAAAGGTACCTGAAATCTCCAACCCCTTGGCCTTCATGGCTGGAAGCCACACCTGGGAAGACAGTGGAGAGGAGGCTTGTGTTTGCCACTTCCCTAAAAGTTAACAGCCCACCTGAGGCGATCCACCCCCCAGCCAACTCTTCTCCTTTACCGTTTTCTCTCCTTCTCCTTTAGGGGCCTCCCAGATTGACCACACCTGCCTTTACCACTAGGAGATGGCCATGTGGATCTTGGGATGAGAGGAACAATCCTGCATGGCCTACGCAGGGCCACCACCACAGTGTGGCTGTGTATCTGAGCAGCGTGGTATAGAGAGGTGCTTGCTGTGCCCAAGGGATGACGTGAGTCTTCAGAGGTCCAAGAAGGAACACTCAGTAAGTAGTGGTGACAAAGGTGATGAGGTAAGCGGGCCCAGCCAGCCTCCTGAAGAGCCAAGTAGAGTCAAGAGGAGCCCAAGGGCATCCAGGGCCTCAGCCAGAGCCCGAGGCCTCCCTGGCTGTCACAGTCTGTCCTCTCCTCACAGAAGGCAGGGCTGGCCTTTTCGTTGTAGAAACTGGGCTCACCAAGGACAGTACCTAAGAGAACCTCTTGCCTGGCAGGTCCTCTGCTGCTTGGCTGTCACAGCAGTCTCAGCTCAAGAGCTGCCTCCTCTGGGAAGCCCGCACCTAGGTTCCTCCCTACGTCCACGCTACCATGACGTTTTAGCAGATAAATGCGAGCCTGCGTGTCTGTCTCCCCTGCACCCAGTCAGCTCTTTGAGGGAAGGGCTCTGCATCCTTGGCTTAGAGCTTGCTGTGGCACGGGCATTCGGGCAGTGTTTGCAGAGAGAAACAGCTTGAATTAAAGCCCCAGCCATGAAGGACATCCGCAGGCGTCATCCAGGGCCATGCAAATGCCTCTGAGGCCCTTATTCTCTCAGATCCCTCACAGCCCCCCCCCCTCCCGCCAGAGGTCAAAAGGCCCAGGCCTCCTCGAGAGCTGCCCATGTGTCGGCGAACGTCTCACCGTCTCTCAAGGTGCCAACACCAGGAACCTCAGAGCTGTCTGGGTCCCCACCCTCAGCCGACCCCCAAGCCCCACCCCACAGTCACGCAGCCCGGGCCCGTCCCCACCACCTCCTCCATCTGCCGCCAGGGCCTCTGCTTCTCTCAGCAGGCAGCATGTGCGTCAGAGTCAGAGTCCACCAGGTAAGACAGCAGCCCCCGGGGCACCCCAATCCCTCCCCCCGCTCTGCACAGCAGCTCAAGTCATCTTTTAAAGTGCGAATCTGGGGGGCGCCTGGGTGGCTCAGTTGGTTAAGCGACTGCCTTCCGCCCAGGTCATGATCCTGGAGTCCCGGGATCGAGTCCCGCATCGGACTCCCTGCTCAGCAGGGAGTCTGCTTCTCCCTCTGACCCTCCCCCCCTCATGCTCTCT